CAGCAGTGAATAATATTGCTCATTGGTGGAAAGAAGTCTCGCGTGCTGATTGGTCAACGTGGAAGGAAACGCCTATTTTCACATGCACTTTTGTTTCTATCGTAGTGTTTGTCACATATACCAATTCCAGAATGACGATCTATATCTAAATATTAGCGTAGGCATAGGATCTAGATTATTCTAACATATCGATGTAATAAAAAAATTTTTTTATTTCTCAATAGCTAATTACGATTCGATAATTTATAAATGTAATTTCGTATTCGATTATACGAATAAGCTAAACGTATTCTAAACAGTTTCGAAAATATTTTTAGCTTCCAATCTTGGATGATTATGCCAACTTCGTGAAAATGAAAATAATTTTTACGATAGTTTTGAATATTCAAACTGTATCTTTTCTACTACTATAATAAACGTCTCTCTTGCCCCTGTACCGTCCTGAAAAAAATAGAATTTTTTATTAGAAAATCAAAATCCAATCCAAGTCGAATCCAATCACGATCGAGAAACTTTCAAAAAACCCATCTTCGTCCCTGAACTTGCGCCAGTTCAAAAGAAACTCATCTCTCCCTCTACCTCCCCCCTCCCTTCTCTCGTCAATTTCGTTCGATGTACGCTCGAAATTTCGCGCATGAAGAAGAAAGAAGAATAGTATCGAATTCCCTTCCAGATTTGCATGATCGGTGGCCCTCGGCCGGTATGCATAAACGCGAATATATGGACGACAATATCGGCGGTCCACTCGAATCCAATGGGAGGGAAAGGAGGGGGGATCTGCCCAACCTCGTTGTATCACATTTCCCCGCGAAATTCGCATTGCCCCCCTTCCACTTCTAACCGTACATATCCCCATAGAATGTATATATATATATTCTTTACTCTCTTTTTAATTTTTTACTCTCATTTTGTCGCCGCAGAAGAAGAGACTATGATCATCTTCTGGAAAATGCATGATGGAAAAGGAAGGCTGAATGGCGAATGTGGAATGTGGAATCGAGGTCATTCGAATTTAACCGATAAGAGGCGGGATATTTCATAATGGAAGATAAAACGTTTCTTATTAGTCGAAATTTTTTATCGAGCATAATAATAACAGTGTTAACACGTGGGAAGCTCGATTATTCAAATATAACCTATTATCCGGGTAGAAGATGAGTATCTGTTTTAAACTGGCGTATCTAATAGCGTATCAATTTATTCCTTTGCATCTATCTTATTACTTAAAGATCTCTTGCGTAATAAACATCCATATATTCGAGGATTACGTAATTTTCGCTTGCCTTGTGACGTGTACGATCGACAAATTTAGTTCTTCCTAACCTAACCTAACTTAACAACTGTGCGTGTCGAAGGTTGTCCCTCGATCAGTTTAAACAATCAACGTAACGTTTTGTATTATTTACCGTTCCGTATATTATAAGTGTTTCAAGGATTCGAAGAGCGAGCTTTCCACGAACGTCGAAGAAAACGTAACTTGAATTTTTCCCTCGAAAATGTTCTTTCCATTCGAAATCGAATTTCAATTCGAATCGAAGTTTTTTTTTTTTTTTTGCCTTAACTTTCGACGGGAATTTATTTAAACGTATGATAACGCGGTTTAAAACGCGTTTTCGTTTCGTGCCTCGCATTTTTTCGCACCTCGTATTCACAGGGATCGATCGGTAAAATGGTGGATTTTCAGATTTTCTCGATACGGGGGAAGAAGAATTCGCGACGAATTCGTGGTGTACTCTCGAATGCAAAAATATCAGTTTCGAGCAAGTAGAACGAAACGTATTATTCTTCTATTCGTGTTCAATGTTACGATACAAAATTCAACTCGTAACTCGATAAATAAACAACATATCGATTATTTTCGCGTAATAAAAATATTTTTACTTTCGTTTCGATTTCTAGAATCCTCGAAACAAATCCAAGTTTTAAAGCTCTGAAACGAAGTCGAGTTTGAAATTGGCGAAAATTTTTTTACCTTCTTCTTTCAAGAAAGAAGAAAAATAATATAAATAATATTATCGAAGTTGAAGCGAATTGTTCCTTACCTGGGCTCGAAACGTTTCGAAGGGTCTCGAGACATTTTGTGGTTGGCTACACTGGCCTCGCACATGCACCTCCGGCCTTATTATGTCGCGTTCCTCCGTGAATTTCGCGCCGCACGACTTTGCGCACCGAGAGGGAAAGAAAGAGAGAGAAAGAGAATAAGCCTTATCTATATTTAGATAAACGATACCCCGGACGGTGCAACTATAAATTACGAGAAATCTCGCGGAATTCTCTCTAAAATATATACGTATATACACGCCTGTTAACGAACCCTTTCTCATTTCACCCTTTTTTTTCTCCTCTCTCTTTCTTTCCTTTTTTTCTCTCTCTCTTTCCATCGTTGATGTAATCTTTCGAGGCAGCGAGCCGCGAGGATTTAAATTGGAGGAAAATTTTCGATTACGTTACCGTTATTATGGGAGGAAAAAAAAAAGTTTTCCTTCGTGATCGAAGGAAAACTTAGGTTGGAAGATTGGGTTAATTAGTCCTCTTTGCTCGAAACTTCTTCTCTATTTTTCGAAGAAATATTCCACGCGTTTGTTTTCAACCTTTGAGAGGCAAGTTGGGAAAAAACTGTTCGCAGTGATCTTTTCAGGGATTTCTAGAATCAGGTGTAATTTTTTTTTTTTTATAAAGAAAAAAGGAGGGAGGAAAGGCAATGGTATATTTTAACTTCAAGGAGATGGTCTAATTATAATAATTGAAAGGATAGAAAATTTGACAAAGGAATCTTTATCCAAATAATGATTTAAATTAATGATCCAAATAATGATTTAAATTACACGCGTTGCAAATTCCACTGATTTTGTTAAATTGAATGAAGTTGAATGCTCGTTTCGAAATTTAAACGTAGTAGCAAATTGAATTCTTTCGCGAGTAGATTTGTGATCTGCGTTTGTTTTTTATCGTTTGATATATTTGTTAAAAAAAAAAAAGAAAAAAATATGCACGTGTCCGTTTACACGTGTCGTATTTACTTCGATATCTCTCGATGGGGATAATTCAAAAAACATCGATTGAGATTTTTTTGTTCATTGAACAAAAAAAAAAAAAAAAAAAGAAGGAAAAACTACGTATTTAACTGATAAACGTATGTACATTTTCCGAGAAATGCATTATCGCGCTGATTGCCTTTAACGAGTATCGTTTTTATCAGATAAGTTATAATTTCGAATAAACATATGATTCTCGACTCTCTTTTCGAACGTAATATCACATTTCTGTTCTTCTTATCGGTAATTTGTTGCTGTTCCTTTTTTTTTTCAATCTAAATTATATTCCACCCGAATCGCGAGAGAGGGCGTGAAAAAATAGAATCATTGGCTTTTCTTTAACGCGCGATAAATTTTCCTCCTCCTCCTTCTCCTCCATGTTGTTTCCATGTGAAGATGCGAAAAAGAAAAAGAAAAAGAAAAATCGAAATATACACCGACATATTTACACGGTGGAGGATAAAACGAAGAGGAAATATTTAGTAAACCGCACAACCCGTGATCTGACCTCTGAAAGTCAGAGCTCGAAACTTGGAGAAAATCGAACCGACGTGGGTGGATATATATACAGCGTGCATGTTTATACAGGTTAACCCCTTTAGCGGTGCGAAATAGAGAGAGAGAGAGCGGCGAGAGATTCTCCGTTATTTCGCCTATCTCTGTGATTTTCGTGCCGCACGACTTCGTCCCCAGTCGAATATCGTTCGCTACGCTACGTGCGCACGCGCGCGCGCCTCCTCGAGAACGTTAAACGAGGAGTCGCCTTTAAGTGAACGGGGATCCTCCAAGTTTTCGAGGATTATTCCACTTTTTGGTAATTCACGTTAAAAGAAAGAAGAAAGAAAAGAAAAAGAAAAAAAAAAAAAAACGAGGCGAATTTGAAGAAACGAG